ACACACATGCACACGCACACATACACGACGCACCTGGTTGAACGGACTGCGACTCGCACCGTTCCATGACTCTGGACGCTCCAACCAACAAACTCGTGGAACTGCGCCGGAACGGATGTCTCCCGCGTGCTGGCGTCCGCCTTGCTCTTGCCCTCGCCTTCGCCCTCTTCATTGTCTCTCCGCTCATCTGTTCGTGCGCTGGATATGATAACAATGATGCGTGTTCCATGCCGTCGTCCTCTTGCTCTCTTGCTGGCCGTGCGATTCGCGTGCCTGGCCATTCGTTGTCTGCTTGCTTGCTTGCTTGCTTTGTCGCCTCTCCTTCTCTCCTTCATTGCTTGCTCTGGTGATTATCCTTCTTCCCCCCGTTTTTTTTTCTTTTTGCGATTCGATGGGTGCGCAGACCGCGGTCGTGCGCAGTTCAAACCTCGTTCTGCGTGTCGCCCGCGGTCATTACACCCGCCCACAATCAACTGCAGTTCTCTCTTCAATCCGCAATCACACACACAGACACACAGACACACAGAGACACACACACACACACACACACACACACACACACACACACACACACACATACACACACACACAACACACACACACACAATGTCAAGCAGGAGCGCCAGAAGCATCTTGCAGCTGCGTCAGGCACGCCACGGCGCGAAGATGAAGGGCGTGTGCTTCCTCGTCCGTCTCCGCAATGGCAATGAAGAGGGCGGCAAGTCCGCGCAGGTACACAATGGGAAACACGCCCACATCGCTCTCGCCAGGCACAAACTGGATGCCTTGCGCCTCAAACGCGGTCCACACATCACGGATGCACAAGTCCTGGCCCGGCTTGAACTTGAAGGAGTAAAACCTCCGGCCTGGGCTATTGGCCTCCAGAAAGAGTTTAGGGAAATGGGCGCCGTTGAAGCGGCCTGAATGCACGCAGACGCAAACGTGTGGGAGTGAGGGTGGGAGGCGGCACTGCACGACATAGCACCCTGAAAGCAAACAAAACAACGCTGCAATGAACGCAGACAGAGAGAGGTGCTGAGGTGACACACACGCATACGCACACACACACACTAACACACACACACACACTGACACACTGACACACACACAGACACACACACAGACACACACACACACACACACACACACACACACACACACACACACACACACATAGCGCACATGGTGCACACGCACCTGTGTTCACATCTGTGAGAACGGGGTTACCGCCAACGGAGAGAAAATCAAAGCCACCCGGCCCTGTGGGAGAGGTGGCGCCAAGAATGGCCTGTGTGGCATCCATGCATATCTGCTGGAATGCAGGTGCGGTGACAGAGGCTCTCCACCCACAGTACGCCGTCGACTGCATGAGCTGATCAACAAGGCACGTGCCAATCACCTCTTTCTGCAATCAGTGAACAGAGCTCGCATGTGTGAGTGAATGTGTCGGTGATGAGGAGGAAAGGCAATATCGAAGCAAGGCAACAGCAATAGCATGTGCAGCGCTCATACACGCACTATCACAAACACACACCAGCACAAATACACACGTTACACACACATGCACACATACAAACACACACGTTACACACATGCACACATACAAACACACGTTACACACATGCACACATCCACATACAAACAAACACGGCTGCACTGACCGCCATGTAGTGAATGGCGGGCGCAATCTCCATGTCATCGTCCGCCTTGTCTAGGGGAAGAAACTCCTCCAGGCTGACTTGCCCCATCGGGAACGTGTACGCCGTCAGCTCCGCTGCACTCGACACGAACACGATGCCTTCGCCCGCCGCTCCAAACACAGGCTTGATCACCGCCTTATCATCGCCGAGGAGATCATATGCGAGCAGCAGGTCGTCCACCGTGTCGCACGTGAATCCCCGTGCAACCCTGACGTGGGGTGTGGCCCGCTCAATCACAGACGCCTCGTGCGGGCGCGCCACGTGGCGGTGCAGGATGCCCTTGTGCCCATACACATCCACCCACGCGCTCGCGTCGCCGCACACCACGACGTTGCTGTGGTTACGGAGCAGGTGGCCTGCCCACTCCTCAAACCCTGGCGTCACGCAATAGGGAAGGAGGCAAAACGTATCCTGTGGCAGGTTACAGCACGCGTGTGCGAGGTGAGCCAATGATGTGCGCGAGTGTGTGTGCGCGCGCGTGTGTGTATGAGTATGTGTGTGTGTGTGTGCGCGTGTGTGTATGAGTGTGTGTGTGTGTGTGTGTGTGTGTCGGTGAGCACGCATGTGTGTGTGTGTGGTAAATGCAACCAACAATAGGTCATGATCCCAAGACTAACACTACACGCACACACACACACACACACATGGGGAGCCTACGTCTGGGTTTGCTTCTACGATGTGAGCGAGCTGTGCCAATGGCGCGCCCAACATGTCGTTGTCGAGCACAAAGTGCTCGTTGCTGGTGAAGATGGCCTGCTCCTCGCTCAACCCCTTCACATCGCGCACAAACTCCCAGTACTCGCGCGTCGGGGCGTGGTTGCCCGGCAACACGATGACGTCCGTGCCTGCACGCATCAACGCCAGGCACCGGTTGGGCAGGCGGTACCGCTGTGTTTCCAATCGGTATTCCGGTCGTGCACTGGACACGCGATACAAGGAACAGGCACGCAAGCACATGTGCGTGAGCTTGCATGAGCGCGTGTGCGTATCAGGAAAGGCTTCACGACGAGCACAGATGTCCTTCGAGTTGGCACAACAATGGCATGAACACGCATCTATGTCCACGTTCATTGATCGTTCTCTTCTCGTTCTACAGCCCTGTCTCTAACACACACACACATACACACCACACACCTGCCAACCCAGATACGTCTGAGGGACGGGTGCAGGCCAGCGGATGGCGCATCCTTGATGTGCGCGCGCGGTATGCAGAGCGCCGACACGCCGTGAGATACGCTCCACAGCTCCTCCAGGCGTTCTGGCGCAGACGACAACGCAACGAGCGTGCACGATCCGTCGCCCTCGCTGGTAAAGTGAAGGGGAAACAGCCCTGCAAACACCACAACACCGCAGTGTGTGAGAAGGAGTGTGCGTGCGTGTATGTGTGCGCGCGTGTGGGCGCTCGAGCAAGTTCTGTGCTCAACATGCATGCACACACACACACAAGCACACGCACACACAAGCAGACATGGTCACTAACTACGCACGCACGGACACAAAACTGCACCTGATGACGATGCAGAGTCGGATGGGTGGTAAGCGCAATCCCTGTCATGCAACGTTGCCCAGAAGGTCCAAATGTCCGGAAAACGCGCAACAGGGCAGGGCCAGACGCCAATATGCGACGCGTTTCCGTGGCGCCGGTTGAACAGGACGGCGGCAATTGCGTGGGACAGCCCCTGCAGGTTGAAACACGAACAGTGGTCACTCGGAGGAAAGGGGCGCCAGTACCACGTACGCACTTGCAAAGTTCATAAGCAGGCAGGCAAGCGGTCAAGCACGCGCAAGTGCTTTCTGCACAGCAGAAATGCACACGCACACACACACACACACACACACACACACACACACACACACACACACACACACACACACACACACACACACACACACGCACGCACACACGCACGCACACACGCACGCACACACGCACGCACACACGCACACACACACGCACACACAGATACACACACACGGGATACTGACGAGGGTGACGTCGATGAGATATGTGCTGGTGCTGTTGAGCACAAACGTGAATCCTCCAAACGCGTACTCGCAGATGGGGCTTTCTTGCATCAGGCGCTTGCTGACAGTGAGCAGCTCATTCACTGCAGACGATAGCGCTGGTGGCGGCGGACAGAAGCGAAGCGAACAGCCGCGCTCGCTCGAGATGTGCAGTTGGTACGCAGACAGCAGCTCCTGATGTGCAAAGGGGATGAAGATTGTCGTTGAATCCACAAACGTGTGCTTGGGCATGGCCCGCACGGTCCACGTGTCAACAACGCGTCGTGGCGCCATCGTCTGCTGTTCCAGGGTTGTGCTGTGTCCAAGACAAACAGTGCACACGTGTCAGCACTGACGCAACTTGGATGGAGCAGGTGAAGGCGTTGGAAGGTACGAGACGAGCACGCGCACACAGAGACAAACGCAGACACAAACACGCAATAGTGTGCGAGTACGTATCATCTCAACAAGCGCATTCAGGCGCGTACAGGCACAGCCATGCACATAGGCACATACACACACACATGCACATACACATACATATACGATACAAACACACACGCACATACACAATACACACCTGAGGGCATCTGGGCGGGGCACGAGCGTGCTGGTGGCCATCCCAGCCACGTCCCGCACGATGAGCTCAATCAGCACATCGCTGTCCGTGTTCTCTGCTTGCACTCGGTTGTACAGCGCAAGCACATCCTCTGCACTGGTCGTGCTCAGGCCATGCGGTGTCTTTACTTTCAGACCGCTGTCTTGCAGCACCTGTATGACGACAGGGAAAGGTAGAAGTTAATGCGTCTGGTTAACGTCATATACGCGACTACAGCAGCAGTTAGGAATGACAATCGCAACGAGACTTGCAGTTTCATGTTGCTCTTGAACCTTGCACACGTATGTACGCACACAAACACACACAAACACACAGACAAACACAGACAAACACGCACACAGACAAACACGCAACACAAACACACACGCGCACCGGTGGAACGTCTGGTGTGTTGGCGTCGCGATAGATTAGGCGGTTCAGGGCGGTGGTTGGCGTTGCACGCTGCAGGGCTGAAGGGGATGCGGTGACGTCGTGCTGCTGCAAGTGTGGAAACAGGTCTGCGTGCGCAACCACGCGCTTGTTTGAGTCGCTGAGAGCACGCAGGACCGTGTCGGGAAGCACGTCGAGGGCGCCCTGTTGCCGCCGTCCGCGCTGCTCCTTCTCTGTCTCGGTAAAGCAGATGACCTGCTCACGTTGCCGGTTGAGGACTGTCGCACAGAACTGGCTGAAGGGCGAAAGCGACGCTGCCGTTTTGCTGTGCATGAGGACGTCATCTTCGGGCTGCGCAATGCAAAGTGCCATGGCGGTGAGCTGTTGCTGGTGGTGCAGCTCGTTTCGTGGCTGTTGGCCACGCTGAGCCCGCTGATGGTGTTGGTGGTGGTGCTGCTGTTGTTGGTGGTGTTGCGTTGGAACGATATCCACTCCCGTTGTGTCAAGGCACCAGACGGTGCCGCCGATGGCGGTGACTTGCTGTTCCTCCATCCTTCAGGTGCAGCTGTGTTGTGGAGTGTTGTGGAGTGTTGTGTTGTGTTGTGTTGTGTTGACGCTTCTTGTCCTTGTTGTCTTCTCCCTGCTGTCGCTTTGTATGGAACCCTGTCCAAATGAAAAGTGATCACGGTCGGCACGCCGCCGTGTTCCCCGCTGGCGCCATCACTTGCTTGCCTTGTTGTTCGTGCGTGTTCGTGGGGCGTGTGGGGCGTGTTCGTGTTCGTCGTGGGGACATGCTGGTGAGGTGCCACTTGCACAATACCTGCAGCAGTCGTCGCAACTGCCGTCGCGCAGAAGGCGATGGAACACGTCAGAAGGCAGGAGGACCAGCATCCAGTGCACACAAAGTACCTGGTGCCTCTTGGAACGCTGTGTGTGTCAGTTGCACAACTCCCATATCCGCCATCGCAATTGTTTGTCAATTCAAATTTTGCGCGGCAGTGGTGGAGGCGAGGTGTGTGTGTGTGTGTGTGTGTGTGTGTGTGTGTGTGTGTGTGTGTGTGTGTGTGAGTGTGTGTGTGTGTGTGAGTGTGTGTGTGAGTGTGTGTGTGAGTGTGTGTGTGAGTGTGTGTGTGTGAGTGAGTGAGTGTGTGTGTGTGTGTGTGTGTGTGTGTGTCAGTGTGTGGCCTAAATAACCATGCCTTACTGTCGCTGCCTTTCTGCCGAGGTCTTTTACATGCCTTCAAACGCGCAAACGAACGAGCAATGTAGCCAACAACAAAAACAGCACACGCCAAGACGAAAGAAGAAGTGCTACCATTTCGCAGTTTCTTCGCCGTCACCATCACCGTCACCACTGACATCACCGCCATTGGTGCTGTCCACCTCATCCACGCTGCTGCTGCTGGTGGTGGTGGTGGTGCTGTCGTCGTTGTTGTAGTTGTCGTTATTGAAGTTGGTGCCTGTCGGGTCCAGGATGTGCTGCAGGTTGTGGCGCTCCGCCTCCGACATGGGCGTGTTGCCAAAGTGGTCCGTCACCGCTGGGTCTGCGCCGTGCGCCAGCAGATACGAGGCTATGTCTCCCCTCCCTAGCATGCAAATGGATTGGATGCACGCACGCGAAAGGGGGGGGGGGGATAGCGTGAGTGGTGCAGGGCCAGTGGTAAGCGCACAAACCAGTCAGGTTTGGAGTCCAGCAGACAGGCACACAGATGCACGCACGCATGCACACACGCACACACGCACACACAGACACACAGACACAGACACACACACACACAGACACACAGACACACACACACACACACACCTGCCGCCAATGCCTCGAGAAGGGCGGTGCGGCCGTCGGGGTTGGTGCCGTTGACATTCACGCTGGTGTTGGAGACGAGCTCGTGCACTTTCGCGGCATCGCCGTGCGCAACAAACTGCATCAGCATGAGGTGAAGGTGCTCCGTGTCCCCCGCTTTTGGCACATCCTATTGGCAGTGGTGGTGGTTGGTGGTTGGTGGTTGGTGGTGGTTGAAGAGGGTGCACGAAACCGCACACAACAGCACAGGTGTGAGCTTCTCATTCAAGAAAATACATATTGATGCACAGACAACGAGCACACACACACACACATACAGACACACAGACACACAGACACAGACACACAGACACAGACACACACACACATACCAGTACACACGCACACACACACATGCACATACCAGCACACACACACATACCAGCACACACCAGCACGCATCACACAATCACACACAAACACACGCACAAACAAACCATCTCGTGCGTGAGGCGCGTGGTGCTGAACACATGCAGCTCCGGGATGGCCCTGACGAGCTGCGCAGCAACATAGAGACCGCGGACAGTGTTGCCAAGGGCATCCACGCGCGGGCTGTAGATGGCGATGCCAAGCTTGCCCGGGACGCTGAGGAAGAGGGCGCCAGACACGCCGCTCTTGGCGGGAATGCCAACCTCAAACGCAAACCGCCCGCTGTAGTCGTACATGCCGCAGTTGTACATGAGCGAGAGGGCGGCTTGCGCGTGGTGCGGATCCATGACGCGCTCGTTGGTGATGGGACACATGCCGCCCATCGCATACGTAGCCGCGAGAACAGCCAGGCCCCTGACGTCTGTGGACATGGAGCACGCCTGGAAGTAGAGGTGCAGCACCTCCTCCACGCTCGTGTGCTTGAGAAGCTCGCTGTGCTCCTGCATGAAGTAGGTCAGCGCGTAGTTGCGCGCGGCGTGGCCAAGCTCGGACAGATACACGCTGTTGTTGAAGTTGACCGGTGACATCTTGCCGAT